TATCAGCAAAGGACATTTATCAAGGATTGATTCCTGTCCCTGAGATATGTGTCCTTGGAGAAGTCTGTAACAGTGAGTGAGGTGATGTGAGGTCCCTGAGACTGTAGCAAGTCCTGTAGTGCTAGTGTCTTGAGGAGATGTGGCCCTGGATGGCTCTGTCTCTGTCTCTGTCACAGGCATCAAAGTCCTTGTGAGGACATTACAAGAAAGTGAACAGTCAGGAAGAGCGTCTAAAACAGATGACACTCTAGACTTCCCGGCTTCCAGAACTTTGATTTTAAAACTATTCCGTAAGTTTGTCTACCAGAGCAAGGTATCTGTGTGCTCCATGGCAGTGCAGGGAAACTAAGTCACCAAACCAGCTATCCCTGAGCAGGATCAGCCTTAGGAATTGACATGTAGTTTGGACATATAGTTGCAGACTTGCTTCTCTTCTTCCTGCTGCTGCAACCATTGTGAGGAAGCAGGACTCAGGTTCCATTCTCAGTGACCTTGAATTCAAGAAACTTTCCTAGCAGTTGAAGGTGTAAGCCAGCTTAGTTTTTGGATCAGAATCAGAAAAGCATCAACTAAATGGGATGCATTACTGATATTGTTTGTATATGTACATGTATTTTTTTCTTTTGTAAGGGGCCGAGAAGATCCTTTTTATCCTATCATTCTTTTCTCTAGATGGCCCTCAGCACAGACTGTATAATGCCTCTCCTGACTTGTTAACGACATATCTACATACTCTGGGGAGTCAGGGTTGTGCTATTACTTTGGATTCACAAAGCAAAGAGAAGTCTATGTAGGTAAAATAAAGAACTATATGTATGTATACATTTGTGCATTTTGTTTATTTTTATTATAGTAGTTTTCATTGTAGAAATGCTTCATCTCCTTGTTTATACTTATATATTCTTATTTTTGAAGAAATAATTTCATAATTTCAGTTTTCCACATTTAGTATGATGTTGACAATAGTTTTGCCACCTATATCTTTTATTAGGCTGCGGTATTTTTTTCTATCCATAGTCACTTGAAAGATTTTTATCAATCGCTTTTCTCCAATCCATGGCAACATTTAAACTTATTATCTTTTTATATTTTTTGCTGCTTCTCTGCATCCAGCTTGCCAAGAACAATGACCACTACTGAGCCTCTACTACTGCACCACACCTAAGAAGAGCAGACCATCACTTGGTATGCAGTTGAGGGCAAATGGCAAGCAAGACTGATCAGTAACTTCACAATGTTCCAATCCTGAGAATGAAACCCTTCCATGCCTGGTTGTGTGTCATGGGACTGTGGTTCCTGAAGCTGTACTTTGTCCTATTTTGAGAGGTAGTAATTCAAATCCTGGTGTTCTACAAGGCTTATGTATCTACAAGAGGCCAGTGAAAGTGGCTCATGCCTGAAAACCTACCTACACAGAAGGCTGAGATCTGCTGATCTCAGTTTAAAGCCAGCCCAGGAAAGGAAAGTGCAAGAGACACTTTCCTCCAGTTAAACAACAAAAGGGTAGAAATGGAGATATGGCTCAGGTGGAAGAGTGCTGACATTGAGTAATAAAGCTCAGGGCCATAGATCAGACCCTGAGTCCAAGTCCAAAGACACACACACACACACAAAGGGGCGGGGGGAGGGGATCAAAGGATAAGATTTCAGTATTTCTTTTGAGCTATATCAATTATAACTCGTATACAGGATGAAGTTACAACCTATTGGGTAATTACCTGTGTTAGTCATCTCCCCTTCCATGTAACTGGCATTTAATTTCAGTTTGGAACTTTCTTCCAGTAGTGGTATCTCAAAGAGTTTGCTCATTCTCTTTGCTTAAGCAAGCACCAAAAGAATAAAAAAAAATAAGATATTTAGAAATAACATATTTACAAGATGATTTCTTTGTTGCTTTGTATGGCCCTTCTCCACTGTACAACTCCTGGTTTCACTCTATTTGATGTTGGTATAATTTGGGAGGGAACAGGAAAAAACAAATCATTTAATTAGGGATACAAGTGGACCCATTTCAACAATGAGATCTACAAGTCATTATGTAGAAAACAAACTTTACAATTTTGGGCAAGGGCGGAGGGAGGAGGGTGGGGTGGTGGGACGGGACGGGGGAGCATGGGAAGGGAAGGGGAAACAAAGGAGGAGGCTACAATGCTTGATAAGAAATGTACTCATTATCTTGCCCATGTAATTGTAACCCCTCCGCACAGTATTTTCACAATAAAAAAGAGAGAGAGAAAAAGAAATTGTTTAAATAGGGATTTTACAGGTGGACCCATTGAAATAATGAGCTGTACAAAGCATTATGTCGAAAATGAAGTTTACAACTTTGGTGCTGGAGGTTTTGGGGGTAGGGAGGATGAGGAAAGGGAGGGGGGAGATGGGAAGGAATGGGAAGGGAAAACAAAGGAGGAGGCAACAATGCTTGATAAGAAATGTATGGTATTTTCCCAATAATAAATTTATTAAAAATAATATATACCACATATATGGTATATATGTGCACATCAGAGGGAAACCAGGAGGAAGACAGAGAGACAGAGGCAAACAGGGATGACACACAACAGTGGGACCTATCAGCTGCACGGGACATTGATCATAACAAACTAAGCAACTCAATGGCAGCAATGTGAGGGAGGGAATGAGCAGGAAAGAGGGAATAGCTGACACTAAGCAAAAGGAAAGAAATGTATATATAACCCCATGTGGAAGAAATAACTGTATTGTCAAAGACCATAGAATTAACAAACTTTATAAGCCACAATAAAGATAATTTGCCCCACGAAGGGTAGAATGGTTTTGTGATTATAAGTATCACTTATTCGTGACTGTAACAATCCTGTGAAAATTGTGAAATTTATGTAATCACTTAATCACAGTAAAAATTCCTATAATAAATTTTAATAGAAGAAACTTTTTGTGTAACCCATAAGAAAATGTCACAAACAGTGGCCAATAGCAACAGATATGTATGTTCTTCGGTCTCTAGATGGGGTAAGTGGAATATGAATTCCTTTGTACAACTCTGAACCAGCATTCTGTTACTTAGTAGATTCTGATGAACCTGAAGAGAAGACTTAATCTTGAGTGTTTGTTATACTGAGACATGAACACAGCTCTTGCTGGGTCCTGCTATGAGGTGGGGAGTCATGGCTGCGGCTGCCCACATGGAATGCAGGCAGGACAAGGAGGGTCTAATATAGAGTTAATAACTTTTCCAGGAGCAGACTCTGTAGAAAGATTAAAAATAGGTGTTGTAATAGTCTGACTACCTAACTGAATGTAACCGGTGTTCTTGTTCATACTGTCTTATAGAAGATAGAGAGAAATATTAAGAATGCTGCTGTTAGTCTGTAGAGTTATGCTGAAGAAATGTAATCCCATATGTATTGATTGTGAAAAAGACTGTGTAAAATTTAGTTTCCTCTGCCATTTTTCTCTTTCATTTAGAAATGTTATTAATTCAGGAGAATTTTTTTCTCTGGGTTATTTTGTTTTGACATAAGTGATCATAAGGAACTTAGTTTATTAGGCCCTCTATGAAGAACCTTATTTTTTTTTTTATCACTTGTAGGGATTTAACTCAGGACCTGGGTGCTGATCCTGAGCTCTTTTGCCCAAGGAAAACACTCTACCACTTTCAGCCACAGCACCACTTCCAATTTCTGAATGATTAATTAGAGATAAGAGTCACAAGGGGAAATTTCAGCCTGGACTGGCTTTGAACCATGTCCTCAGAACTCAGCCTCAAGAGTAGTTAGGATTACAGACATAAGCCACCAGAGTCTGTCTTATGAAGAACATCTCTACCAGTTGTTGATAACTTGCTAGTCAAAAGTTAACTTTGTTTCAGTGATGCCAGACTAACTCGAGTAGGTGAGTAGGTATTTGATTTCCTTACCTAGATCAGACCACTGTAGTATTGGATAGAAGTCCTGAGAAACAATGGCAAATGAAGTCTGTGCACAGTATCTTTCTCTAGAATAACTAGAAGAGGGCCAATCAAATTAACCCTTCACCAAGACTCCCCTGGACACACATTTCAATTGAATTGGGCCTCTAGTGTTTCAAGTTGCAGGGTCAAGTACAATACATCCTTCCTGCAGATCCAGGCATCAGGGGAGAGGTGTCCTTCTACCCACTGCTGGAGCCAGCCTGGTATCTGTGGGTCTTTTCTCCAAACACAGAAGAAATTTAAGTCACTTTCTTCACCAGAGAGATGCCCTTGCCCTCGACTTTGTTCTTCTCACACTGCTGCCCCCACCTGCTGATTTGCATAGTGTTCCCCAAGGAAGACTGTGCAGCCCTAGTTTGACATAAAGGCTCATCTTGACCTTGACTTCACTGATGAAATCTCCTGGATTCCCAGCTAAAATGAGGCTCTGTTCTTGTGTTCTGGGTCTCCTAATGCTCTGGATCACTGGTAAGGGCAGAGGGAGATGAGGATGGAAAAGGGGGTTGAGGGTGAGCCCTCAGGGCCACTGCTTCTTGCTTGTATTCTGTTCTTGGGTTAGATGCACAGAACTTGTCCTCTAGAATGAAGCAGGTGAAGTTAATTATATGAGAGTGATGGACATTCTAGATGGAACCAGGTCCTGAGCTTTGGTGACAACTATGACAACTGTGCATTGGGTAGTATACATGAGATCTAGAACCTCATTTATGCTTTTAAATATTTGTATATATTTTGAAATATTGAATGGTTTTAGGATAGAAGGGAAACCTTGAAAAGGATTGGGAATTAATATATAACCACAGAAAAAATTATATAACACATATAACCTTGTACTTTTCATTTATATTAATTTCAGGGTCCAATGGCGATATTGTAATGACTCAGACTCCACTCTCCCTGGCTGTCACCCTGGGAGAGACAGCCTCCCTCTCCTGTAGGTCAAGTCAGAGCCTCATGGATAGCGATGGAGATAGCCTTCTGTATTGGTTCCTTCAGAAGCCTGGCCAGTCTCCACAGCAATTGATTTATTGGGCTACCAACTGTGAATCTGGGGTCCCAGACAGATTCAGTGGCAGTGGGTCAGGCACAGATTTCACACTGCAAATCAGCAGGGTGGAGGCTGAAGATATTGGAGTTTATTACTGCATGAAAGGTATAGATACTCCTCCCACAGTGATACAGTCCTTAACAAAAACATCTCTGTAGGGCTTGGCCCAGCTGGCCTATTTCAAAGCTTGTCTGGAGAGCAGCATAGCACATTCTCTGAACTTAAACAGTAATCTGAGTTTGGAGGACTTGACAGAAGATGTCATACTAGAGACCTTGTCCAAGTGGGATCTTGGATTACTTCAGCTTCTAGGACTCTCAGAACCAGAATTTATAATGTTACTGCAGAAGTCAATTTATCACTTATTCCCAAATGTGAAAGACAAAGACAAAATCATCTACCAGCAACATGCCATTTCTATAGTTTGGAGAGAATTACAGAGTCAAATTCCATGCAGAATGACTCAAGAAGCAGTAGTAGCTAGCAATTGAAGAATGAGTCACAAAGTTAGGCTTAAAAGTGAGATTGATTTTTGAAATAGGAATGTTACTGAATATCACCAAATAAATAGAATATGTTGGTTAAATACAAAGAAAATTAATTATATGTCTCAGACATTAAAAGTTTTTGCTTAATCAACTCATGATTCTGAAAGTCCCATTATTATCATTTTTAATTGTGAAAATACCATATATAGTGCTTACAATTACATGAGCAAGGTAATGAGTACATTTCTTATCAAGCATTGTTGCCTCCTCCTTTGTTTCCCCTTACCATCCCTGCCCTCCCATCTCCCCAACCCCACAACTGTTGTAAAGTTTATTTTTCGACATAACGTCTTGTACATCTCATTTTTGCAATTGGTCCACCCATATCCCTATTTAAACAATTTGTTTTTTCCTTCTCCTCCCCAAATCATACCAACATCAAATACAGTGAAAACAGAGGTCTCCTTGGCACAGGCTCATTTTTATTTAACAAAGCTACAAATTGAAGTGTGACACTGCATAATGCTATGTTCCATGTTTGTTTCCTCTGGTCCTCCTCTTATGGAGGCCTTTTCTCACCTGACTCTTAGAGGTTAGAAGATTATGTTCTTCCCTTCCAAAAATCTACCATTAACTGGCAAACAAGCGCCACAATGAGCAAAGGCTTCCCCTGAGACTTGAGTATGTATTGGATTTTCTCTCAGAATATGCACAGACCACTCAGACATCCAAAGTAAACCCCTGCTATTTCCATCAGCACAAGCATCATCTTAGGAAAGGACCATCCTTACCAGTTTCTCTATTACATTTAAGTTCTCCTAATCCCTCTGTCACTGATAGATCTAAAATATCTCAACTTCCCCTGGTGGTAAAACATGAAATAGCCTCATAGCCACCACTATGCTGGGAGAAGTTCTATACTTACTGATTCCCAAACAGACAGAAAACATTTATAAAATTATCCACTGACTATATCATGAGCTTTACTAGGGAAGTATTTGAATATCTCAAAGAACCACAAACCACACAGAGAGTTGGTTTTAGTGCCAGGGGCAGACAATACTATTGAACAAATTCTATTTCTGGCAATGCGCCCTCTCTGATCCTGCCAACAGCACTCCATGAAACAAGGGGATGTCAAGTGAGACAAGGCTTATGCATGTGTGTCCTGATTGACTTGAAACTCTTCATATTCCTTCCTGTGTCTAGCTGAGTTATTAGGATTACACATAGGCAGTGTCTGTGGTAGAAACAGTCCTTTCATCTCAAATAGCTTATATGTGTATTTCACAGGATGTCACAATCTATCAATGTTACACCTTATATCTTAAATAAAAATCCTACTTTTAAACAGAACTTTGAAGGCATTTTAGGAAAACGAATAAACACAAAACACTGTGCCCTCATTTACATGGCAGCTAGCCTGTGAGACATCAGTGACACAATGACCCTGAGATCCCTGTGTGCAGATCAGCTTCTTACTCTATGCACACAACAGATCTTTTGTTAAAATAAGTTTTTTTATTGTGAAAAATACTGTACAGAGGTTTTACAATCATTTGAGCAAGGTAGTGAGTACATTTCTTATCAAGCATTGTTGCCACCTCCTTTGTTTTCCCCTACCATCCCTGCCCTTCCATCTCCACAACTACATTTCCCTCTCTCCTCCCTCACCCCACGCCTAAATTATAAAGTTCATTTTTTGACATGGTGTCATGTACATCTCATGGGTTAACCTGTATCCCAATTTGAACAATTTGTTTTTACCCTTTCGCTCCCCAAATTATACCAACATCAAATACAGTCAAAACAGGGGTTATACCATGGGGAGGGTCATACAAACCTACAAGAAAATTACATGGTACCTGTTAAATACTTTAGAAACCATTGCAAGGAAGAAAAAAAAAACACCTGTGTCCCTGTCGTGGGGTTCATTTCCCTGACCTTTTCTGCTTGTCTCAGATATATACTAGTTATTGCAAATAAGGGAACCCATGGGAATTATGTTTCTTTGGGCCTGGCTTACTTCACTTAATATATGTTTTTCTAAGTCTTTCCATTTACTAACAAATGGGGCAATAACATTATTTCTGGTAGAGGCATAAAATTCCATTTTGTATATATACCACATTTTCTTGATCCATTCATCTCCTGAGGGGCATCTGGGTTGGTTCTGTATCTTAGGTAGGGTAAATAATGCTGTATTAAAAACATGTGCTAGTAGCTTTAGTATCCTTTACACAAGAGAACTTTATGTTTATGATTTCTACCTGAGATGCAGGGCATAACAATCTTATTAAACAAATTGTTTTTTTTTAAATTTAATTTAATTTTTTTATTGTGAAAATACTGTAGAGAGGGGTTACAATAACATGGGCAAGATAATGAGTACATTTCTTATCAAGCATTTTAGCCTCCTCCTTTGCTTCCCCTTCCCATCCCTTCCCATCCATCCCAACATCCCCCCACCCTTATTACACAAATTGTAAAGTGGTTTATCTCCACTCTCATATCCACTCTTCTTTCCTCCTGAAACATAGCCATTCCTAAAATGTCTTGGTCTAAAACCAAGGTGTCAGGACGTTGTGTGCACCAGGAGTGTATGTTTATCAAAAGACAGGTCCACCTTCAAAGTTCCTCTAATTAAATGAAGGTAAATAGAAAGGCATGACTTTTACAGTTTCATCATAGCTTCCTTTGGCTTCAGAAGTATCATATTTCAGGCCTCAGATACATCATAACTGGGGTCGAAGTTCGTGAATCTCTCAAATCCAGATCCACATGCAGTTCATTTAGTGAAGGATGATGAAGAGAACTCTGACTTTGGCAGGGACTTTCCCTGTGTGTGAGCTTCTGACTTTGAGGAGCAGTGTTATTTTGTGTACCTGCAGCAGCTGCTTGGACTCACAATGATGAGAGGTTGATTCACTCTCATGGCAATGCCCTGCTAGTGGCTCCCCAGATGTGACATTCTGCACTAGGGTGGACAGTGTCCCCACATGCTGGTCCTGATGTGGGAGCCTTCCTCACTGCGCTCTGCCTTCACTGTCTGTGGCAGTTTTTCCGTGTTTCCCATGCTAAGGATGTCTTCTCCATTCCTTGTGGCTTCATTGCCTTGCTCACCCTTTACTGTGTTTCCTTTCATCAAATCTGAACCTGCTGGGACCACAAGTTCTAGCCTAGTTACTAAAACATGTTATTCTGAACTGGGAGAGACAATAGCATAAGAACATGAAGGTTTATGAAGCAGAAGAAACTGAAGTAGATATGAGTTCTTGGTTTAGGGAACATCTTATCTTTAAGGTGGGTCTTTTTGGGCTATTGATAGGAGACAGGAATGTTACCTGAGAGATTTGGAGACAGCTAGCTCAGAAATTCATGAAGATCACCAAGCTACACATTTAGCCATGTCTTTTAAATCTTTCCAACCCTGGTGACTTTCATGTGCCCTGAGCACAGCCCACTAACCTGCAAACTTCTTCAGAGGCTGCTCACACCCTATGCAGGAGAAGGTTCCACTCAACAAACAGCCTGGACATGAAGGGCCCTGCTCAGCTCCTGGGGCTCCTGATGCTCTGGCTCCCAGGTAAGGAAGAATAATGTGGAGATTACTCTTCTCATATTAACAGAGCAGCTTGAGGCTTTGTGGAAGTACTTGGATAATATCATTAATTCAATGACTAATTGTTTTAATGTTTCCAATGTCAGGTGCTCGTTGTGATGTCCAGTTGACCCAGTCACCATCCCTGTCTACATCTCTGGGAGAGAGAAGCACCATCACTTGCAAAGCCAGTCAGATCATTAGCAATTATTTACATTCTCACCAGCAGAGAGCAGGGAAAGCTCCAAAGCTCCTGATGAATTTTGCACCTACTTGGCAATCTGGGGTCCCATGGAGGTTCAATGGAAGTGGATCTGGCACAGAGTTCACTCTCAGCATCAGCAGCCTGCAGCCTGAAGATTTTGCCACTTACTACTGTCAGCAGGGTAATTAGTTACCTACCCCTGTGACAACAGTCACAACAAAAACCTCCCAGGGAAGCAGAAGTGAGAGCCTGGGCTGACCCAGATGCTAACCCTGGTGCTTCCAACTGCTGACAGTACATCACAGATGCAGCACCATTTTTAAGGTCACTGGAAAGCATTGGGAGATAGGTTCTGGAGTCAATTGCATGCCTTAACTGTCTGTCCTCCTGCTCATCCCAAGCAGCACACACCTGACACTGCCTCTTCTGTGACTTACAAAGAACACTGCTCTGTACTCATGTATGGTCCAGTCTGTCCTAAAATTCTGCAGTCAGTCAATAACGAAGCCATTCTATATATGTCAGGTTTTTAAAGGCAAGGAAAAATACCTTGTGAAAAGCATTTTGAAAACTACTTTTTTTTTAAAAAAAATAATAGTCGTTAAAAATTTTTTAATTCAATTTTGCATTTCCATGGAATAATTTTATTTGAAGTACAATATGATGTTTGGGGATGCTAAATAATGTAATAAACAAATGAGTTGAGTACCTTCAACATTTATCAACTTCCTGTCAGGGAATTTTATTTCCAGCAAATGTATTTTTTTAAATAATTTCAACTCTCATGTCAAAACATACAACATTTTAATCTAGTTCTCAGAAAATTTGATTTGATACTGAGTATCATATAATTATTCTAAACTTTCGAAAGTAGAGTGGAAAAATAAGTTTTTAAATAACTTCAGGAAATATCAAGAAAAAATTAACTAATACTTTGTATCAGGTTTTGGAAGGTTTGAACATGTGTTTTTTTTTTCTGGTGCTTGATCTTAGGAGTGTTATTCAGAGAGCAGGTAACAAAAGCACCCTTGGCTTCTGGCCTAGTTCACATAAATCCAAACTGAAGCATGGAAATAAATATATGTGAATAAATAAAATACATTTAAGACACTTGTGGAGTCATGCACTAGGTACAGTTACATAGTGACCCATATTATATCTATATTTATCAGAGTAATCAGAAGTGACTTCCATATATCCTACAGACATACTGAGAGTCATAAGTTCACGTTTAGTAATTAACATGCATTCTTACACATGGAAATGTATATGGAAGGGAGGAGCTGGATTGGGAGGGATGGTTCAGAATGATGAAAGGCTGATAGGTAAAGAAGAATTGCATTTATAACCTCATATGTTTAATGGAAATCATTTTATACAACTCCTTATAGATATTAAAAATAGAATTTAGGACATGAGAGGTATATGTATAGAGTTCTCACTTGTCCACACTCTCACCTCTGTCCAAGTTCCTTGCATATTGTGGATTGATAGGATTGAGTCCCTTCCACTTTCCAATCTTTTTTTTTTTGGTCTGTCGTGGGGCTTGAACTCTGAGCCTGGGCGCTGTCCCTCAGCTCTTCAGTTCAAGGCAAGCGCTCTACCACTTGAGCTACAGCGCCACTTCCACCACCTTCCAATCTTATATGTGATAGAAGATGTCCCATCTCATTCAGAATATAAGCAGTAAAGCAGACAGGGAGAGCAGTGCTGGGAAATGTATTTCCTGAAGAGACTGTGGTTATGGGAGCCCATAGTTGATGATCCAGTGAAGTCACCGCCCAACTCTCAGAATATATCCAGGAGGGCATTACCCCATACCAGATACACACATGACTCTTCCTATTAGCAACTTGTAACTATAGCAAGAGTTTCAGGAAGTCTCAGTTCATGGAAATGAGATATTTTAATGAAATATGTAAGTGACCATTCTCAAATAGAAATATTTCTTGACAAAAAGGAAGCAAACACAACTAAACATGTATGTACTAGTATTTTTTTTCCTATTCAGAAGGTGTCCAGAATTCAAGATCATCAATAGCATCTCCCAGAGCATGTTACCAATACAATATTACAAATCCACTTCACATCTACTGAATGTGAATCTGCATTTCAGCAAGTTAACAAGTAATCTCGGTAAGGATTAAGAAGTTGTATTTAGAAGAAGAAAAGTATCACAGGTAGAGAAATGCTTTGTACTCCTCAATTAGCCTATTATGAGCACTTCTATTTAAATCAAATTTCTCTCTCTCTCTCTATCTCTCTCACACACACACATGTGTGGGTATACACACAAATATGACACACCATTGTCAGTCCTTTTCTTTAACAAAGTAGCTGACCTAAACTCTGAATAAAGAAGAGTTTGTTTAAGTCATAGTTTTAGATGAAGAATGTCCCTGATGCTGTATCTTCATTCTGTCTTTACTCTGAAGACTCTCTTGCATGTGGTACAATATGTTGTGTTAATAGAGAACCAGTTGTAATTTGAGCTGGCCAAGCCTATGGTTTTCTTCATTTGATAGCAGGTGACTATTATGAGAACTGCCTCACTGCATGAGAGTATCTTTAACCCTCTGATGAGCAGTGGGTATAATCTCCAATCCCATAATATAATCACTTCCCACAAGTCACCTATTTCACTGGTCAGGTTCATCCATTGGGGCAGCAGTACTAACACCCTGCATGTGCTCTTCCTTCCCTCAGGTGAAGTAGAGACTAAAATCTCTGAGACAAATAAACAGAGACTAGTTAAATTAGATTGGGACTGGAGATATTTGTAGATTTTATGTTAATTTAAGATAATCAAAATTATATATATATATATATATATATATCATTTCAAGTAGTTACACAAAATGGTCTCACCTCAGTATGTCAATTGATAAGTACACCATATTTTGATCCTTTTACCCTTCCTGTACTCTCCAGAGGAAACTTTAAGAAATCCTTTGATTAATTTGCTGTACAAATACATTGTGGAAGAATGACAAGATATTTAGTGAATTTAAAAAACTGTTACATTGAATTCATACTTTCAAGTGTAATAATTTTTCTCATTACGTTAAAAGACCATTAGGGTACTTACAACCTGCAAGAGAAAATTTTGTTATCCTTGTCAATTCTATAGCCTCTATCTTAATATGAAAATCCTGGCAAATAGAGATGCAAGCATCCCTAAGAGATAAACTGGTAACTATGGTATGCCTCTTCATCTAGCTCAACTCTGTGCTTTTATTGGTGAACTGTTTTGAGAATCAGTGCTGCTGATGCTTGACACTGTGTCTTCCTCTAGACTAGATGAGGGAGGAATGGAGGACCCAGGTACAATGTCCATTCCTTTCCTAGAGTCTCTCCTGGACATAAAGCTGCATATCATTGGGCCTCTGATGCTGTTTTAGGGTGGTGAGGTGATGTGCATCCTGTTTTTCCCTCAATTCCAGATATTATCAGTGGAGTCCTTCTTTCCATGCTAAAGGCATCATGGATTTTATTGGTTGTCACCAAATATAGAACAGATCTGCTGCTACTTTGCTCAGAAGAGCAGGCCTTACTTCCCTGTGACTCTTCTCACACTGTTACCCCAACCTGGCTATTTGCATATTGCTCCCTAAGGAGGACCTTCCTTTCTAAGTCTGAGATAAAGGCTCAGATCAGAACTTGCCTTGACCTGTCAAAACTCCTCATTTCAGTCCTAAAAATGAAGTCCTTGTCTCAGCTACTGTGGCTGTTAATGCTCGGGATCCCTGGTAACAGCAAAGGGGGATGAGAAATGAGAGTGGGGTGGCAGGGTGAGATCTGAGATTCCAGTTGTTCCCTATACATGTGTTAGATGTGCAGGTCTTGTTAATCATGATGGAGTAAGTGAGATTTAGGTCTGCAGAAGGATTGAAAACCTGTGTTTGGTGAGAATAATGTATTATGCCTAGAGCCCTATTTATGCTTAAAATTATCTCTATTTTTTCACTTTAATGAGCATGGAAGTTAGGGAGATGCCTTTTCCTTCTTAATTAAATCATTTAAGAGCATTTCTACTCAAATACCCCATTTCTCTCTCTCCCCCTCACACATAATCTGTATTAGTTCATTCGTAAAACAAGTTTATTTTCATAAGCTCTGAATAAAGAGTTTTGTTTAACGCACAATTTTAGATGCAAAATGTTTTTATATTGTAAGCCAAACCAAGTAATATTAATAATAGGTAATACATCAAAATAAAAATAAAAAGCATGTCTCTGTACGTTTGTGTATAACCTTGAACTTCTATCTTATTCTAATTTCAGGATCAAATGGAGATGTTGTGATGACCCAGACTCCACTCCCCCTGCCTGTCACCCTAGGAGAGCCGGCCTCCATCTCTTGCAGGTATATTCAGAACTTTCTATATAACAATGGAAACACATATTTGAAATGGTTCCTGCAGAAGCGAGGGCAGTCTCCACAACTCCTGATCTATGAGGTTTCCAACTGAGAATCTGGGATCTCAGAAAGATTCAGTGGCAGTGGGTCAGGCACAGATTGCACATTGAAATGTAGCAGTGTGGAAACTGAGGATGCTGGGGTGTATTACTGCTTTCAAGCTACACATAATCCTCCCACAGTGATACATCCCTGAACTAGAACCTCTCCTCTGGCTGGGTGAGCAGCCCTCATGTGTTGCTGGTCTGGGAACCCGCAGAGAAGATTGTCTGAATGAGCTGAGTAGGAAGATATTGTCATCAATATGACTGGGTGGACATGAAGAGCATATGATAATTGGATGACTTGGAAACTACAAAGAGCAGGAGAAAATCATGAAAGGATAAAGACCAGAAGACTTTAGGTAAACAATGAGGTATCTAGTGAAAAAAATATGTGTCTCTTAAGTAGTACTATAGACAATCAGTGATATAAGCATCAAGTATCTTCTATGATTTTATTCCCTTCATAAGGAAACTTATAAAACTTCCATCATGCACATGGTTCTGGCCCATACATACAGTCTATGTTATGTTTTCTGTTCAGAAGCTGGAAGCCCAGTTGTACTTTGTCTAGCATCTTCTCTGTTTGTCCCCAAACCTGCATAAATAGCAAGGCCTTCACAAAGTTCTCTCACTGGTTCCTCATTGAATCAAGCTTGGGCTGATACAGTACTGGACTCTGCACACTGGTCTCTGGCCTTGTGTGTTCTGGGGATCTGGCTCTACTTGAGAGAGTAGAGTATGATGAAGTCATGTAATAGTGTTCATAGGTCACAGAAGTCTGAGACTGAGCCCTTGTATCTGTCTTGTATTCTGTCTTGTATCTGTGGCTAGATTCTATTGACAGTTTTATGGGTCTGAAGTGTTGTATATCTTTTAGTGTCTCTAAGACAGAAAATCTCCATCACTTGATGGACAGAAACAATTTTGGAAGTGTCTGAATTTTTCTCACATGCTATGTCAACCTGGATGCAGTACATCCTCCAGCTGGGTTCAGAGCTGTGGGATAGACCATTGATTTTCAAGTACCAGCATGGTTGTTTTAGTAATAAGGCTTGTGATCATGATCCCGAACTGGGCTGTCAGCCCATCAATGTAACTGTAAGAGGATCAGACACATGCATCCATGGGACCAGGCAGAGGCAGGCGAGCACAGGAGAAAGAATATTATAAGGTTTATTAGAGAAGCCGTATTACCCCCAAATGGTAACACATGGCCTCCATCACCATCCAGATAGCAAGAGGGTGTGAGGGATAGGAAGTGAGGTAAATGGGAGTTCAGGTGGGTCTGGGCAGAGAGAGGGAGGAGACAAAGTATGGAGAGAACTCTAGGATGGGAGGAGGGCCCAGTTCTGGGTGGAGCTAAGGAACAAAGGTGAGCATAACACTAAAAGTAACTACACAGAAGTATATTAAAACTAAATTTTTAGTCCTTTAGGGACCATAGGTACATTCCCAATTTTGATGAGGGAAGTGCTGAGTAAATTTGGTTTCCTTTTCAATTGAGATACATTTCTTTCCTTTGTAAAAAAAAAAAAAAAAAAAAAAAAAAAAAAGGTCTGCAGTATCTCTGTGAGAAAAAGAAGTGAGATTGCAATATGGTATCAGAATGCAAACGTGGATTGGGGGAGAAACAGCCCCTGTGTCCACAAAGCTGACAAATGCTCATGTGACCAACATGGGAATATAGTCAACACAAGCATTGCTGCAAGCCACGAGGCCAGGCCTCTGGTTCCTGTAGGCAGGGCTGTGAGCCTCCTGTGGCTAGAGTGACAGGAGGAGCTGTCTTCTTTGTAGCTCATACCTTGAAAGTTGAGCCACAGATATGAGGGACTCTCCAGAGGCTCTATCAGCAGGGCATTATTGAGACTGCTAGGAGTTTGTTGCTTGAGGATTCCCAATAGTTTATATTTCAGTATTCCAGAATGTAACATTTTCTGATTCCCAATAGTTTGTAATTCAGTATTCCTGAATGTAACATTTTCTGCTTCTTAGACTTAATATTTGAAACCAAAATAATGACTAGTCCACCAGATAGTATCAACAAAGTTTCTTTGTTGTTGCTAATTATCATATTTTGACACTAGATTTGTTAGAGGAGGCCAATATGAACAACCTTCCAGGCCTTCACACTGAAGTCAAACAAGAATAGGGGAGACACTAATTCCTCCACCTGCACAGTCACATGGTACAAATAGAGGGAAAAAGGACAAGTTTCCTTCAGTGAATCAGTTTTATGTTCTTCAGAAAAATTCATGTTTTCTACTTATTCATGTTCAGTGTTCTGTTGAAAACCAGCAGAGACCTGGTCTCTCTGGGTGTAGCTTATTCCTCTCAGTTTACTTCACACTCTTGGATTTGTGTGTTTATTCACCCCTTGATGGGTTAACAATAGGGTGGTATTATGGGAAGCATGGGGTGGGGCTTAGTTGGAGTAAATGCATCACCTGTGGGCAAGTCCTTGGGGCTCT